TACTATATATATATATATATATATATAGTATAGGGGGGGGGGGGGGAACAAGTCCGAATGAATGAATGAATGAATACCTAGGTGGGTATGTATGTCTCTCTCTTTGTCTCTCTCGTGTACGCTTAAAGAAAGAGAAGAAGATAATTTCGTCGGAGGTGGTCTGACGTATATATATATGCATGCATGTATGCATGCATATACAAAGCGAAATAAGTAGGAGAGTGGAGATGATGGGTGGTTTTCACGGCTTCTTGGGATTGCGAAAGGGTGGATGGATGTCTAGGTTATGGGTTGGGAGATTTCGGGTTGGGAGATTTCGGGTTGGGAGATTTCGGGTTGGAGAGGGGTGAGTAGGTAAGGTAGGTAAGTAGGTAGGTAGGTAGGTAGGTAGGTAGGTAGGTAAGTAGGTATAAGTAAGTAAGTAGTACTCGGCAAAGTATCAGGGTATCTCGAAGTTTCCAATGTTTTGAGTTGGAATATTAGGATTGGTTAGTCTTTCGGGAGTTGCGAAGGCAGATACGGGATTGGGTTTGGGGGCTTTGGGCAAGATTGATGATTCGATTGGTTTGTGAGGTGTGGAAGGGTGAGGCTTTGGTATAGAAGGAAAGAAAAGGGGGGGAAGGCTTTATTGATTGATTGATTGATTGGCTATTCTTATTCGCTTCACTTTAATCCGATCGAGGACGTTGAGTAGCGTCTTGAAGCGATGAATCGCACTCGGAGCACGTATCGTAAAGGGTAGAGAGTTGTTTGTAAGCTGGGTGGGATATTCATGAGCTGGGTGGGATACCTAGATTGGATCAGTTGTTATTCGATGGGTCGTACCAAAGTATAACAGATCGGCGGAAAGCTTGTATCGCGGTTAGAGGCTGGCTGGCATACTAGATATTAAACCTAGTGAGTGAGTGCCCATCGGAATGATTACGCTGAAGATCGGAAAGGATAGAGGAGATTTAGGAGATCGGATGATATGATTTTTATACGATTTGCTTTTTGTAACTATTACGCAGTTGAAAAGTGGTGGTTGGCTGTTCAAAGTTGGTCTTGATGTTCTCGCTTAAGTAGCTAACAGCAGTTTGGCTAATACTGTAGTCGAGGGAGTGGATAGATGGGCGAAGTGAGGAGTAGAGAGTGAGGAGTGGAAAATGGTAGATTTAAGAGTCGAGAGTTATTAAAAAAAGTTGAGGATAAGGAGCGTAAGGCTTTATATAAAAGGTACCTAGATAGGATAGGAAGGAGGTGAGCTTCATCCGCTATAGCGTACAGTACCTCACGCTCTGTGCGGTACTCGGCAACTGCTGTTGGCCACTTGAGCGAGAACGTCAAAATCAACATTCGACATTCACCCATCACTTCTCAATCACTCAACAATTACAAATCCAAATTAAATCAAAAAAAAAAGGTTTTATTCTTTCGACTCCCTTTGTTCCTCTAATTTTTTAAGCTTGAAAGCTCACGGACCTTAATCCTTACTTAGTATGCCAGCCTTCGGCCGCGATGCAAGCTTCAATTCTATCAATTGTATATATATACATATATTAACACAGCCCTCTTTTTTCTCCCTGCGATGTACCTGCCTAGGTACCTATCCTCGGTACTATCCCATCCCATCTATCTATACATACATGTATATAGCAAGCAAGCAAGCAAGCAAGCAAGCACACTTCTTTTCTTTCCTTTCCTCTTTCCTCTTCGGCCAACTTTTGGTTTCAAAGCCACTTTCTTCTAAAGCCACTTTCTTTCAAGGCCACGTTAGTTCCACTCCATAACTCACTTACATACAAAGTACAGTACAGTATCAAGAAAGTATTTTCTATCTTTAAACCCCCCCCCCCCCACCCCAGCGAACGCACTTAGCGACGGATCTATTCTATCCGCTTATCTACCCATCCCAAACCAGGAGAAGAAGAGAAGAAGGCACACACACAGTCAGTCAGTCAGTCAGTCAGTCAGTCAGTCAGTCCTTCATTACTGTCTATATCCCTAATAGCTAGCTAGCTACGTAGACTTGTTTTGCACACATACGAGAGAGACACGAGTTTAATGTCATCTTCCCAAACCCAAAAAAAGGGACGGGTCGAGGATGTATTTGTTTTTATTTCTACTATCCTAAAGGAAAAAGAAGAAGAAAAAGAAAAAGCGAACCCCTCCCTCTAAGAGTGTAACAATCTTTATCGGTTCTGTATTATTAGGGGCCAAATCTCAAATCTCCCCCAAAAAAAAGAAGAAGAAAAAGGGGGAAATAAAAGAGGAGAATGAATAACATAAATAAGTATCAAGA